ACCCCGTTGTTCACCAGGGACCGGGTCTCAGGAAGTTCCCAGCAAGCCCCTGAGCCCTGGGCTGCTGTCCATACCAGTGCTGCCTCTGCCAGGCCCCTGACCTGTTCAAGCAGGCATGGGGCCCCCTACCATGGGCCCTCTAGGTGTGACCAGCTGGGCACCAGGACCCCCGTGGCATGTGGACAGGCCAGGCTCACAACCGGCACTCACCGCTGCCCCAGCTCCGTGTAGATGTTCAGCAGGGCACCGCCCACCAAGTAGCCGGCCGCTGGGCCCAGGATGGCCGCCGTGTAGAAGATGGCTGGGAGGAGACTCAGGGTCAGACACAACTCTCAGCCACGCCCCAAGTGCAGAGCCAGCGCCCCAACACAGAAGCTGCACCCCAATAGGGGCAGTAGTACCCCCCAGATGCAGGTAGCCCTCCCTCCTGGGAGAAGCCCACCTGATGTCCCAAAGACTGGGGGCCGGAGAAGCGCAGAGCTCTGACAGACCAGCCTGGCCTGTGCCCGCCCCAGGTGGGGTGGGCAAGTGAGTGGGGCCTGGCACAGGCTGCTGCACTTGCTTCAGCCCTGAGCATGGCACCTTGGCTGGAGGCGTGCAGACTGTCTAGTTGGGGTATGTGCCGGTGGGGGGGAGGGGGGACAGGTTCACCCCTCCTGCTGCCAGAGGCTGTACAGATGCCCACATCTTCCAGGGGGGCTGTCCCCAGTCTACTCACACACTCAGAGTCCCATCCCAGACTGGTCAGCAGGAGGTGGCGCTGCCCAATCTGTGCCTGCCACAGGCTGGGCACCAGAGCCCGCGGCGGCCACTCACCTATGTAGACGGGGGAGTGGCTGGACTGGACGTTCTCGTCCAGGTAGGTGACACCCAGCGTGTAGAGCGGCGTGGCACCGGCACCATGCAGGAACTGGCCCAGCACGAAGACCAGCCGGTACTGGGACAGGCCCGAGGCGCTGGGCATGCAGGCTGCGCTCTGGTTGCCCATGCAGGTGGCCACGTCGGTCGCTGCCGCCTCCACCCTGTAAGGGCCCGTGGTGAAGTGGGGCAGGGCGAAGACGAAGGAGCCCAGGCCCAGGAGCAGCACGCCCCAGCCCAGCCAGCGCGGCTTGTGGCCGGAGCCGCCAAAGTAGCTGACGAAGGTGAGGCAGAGGCAGGCGGCGATATCATAGGCGCTAGCCACCAGGCCGCTCTGGTAGCTGTGCAGGTCGAAGCGGCGCTCGATGGAGGTGATGACCGTGTTGATGAAGCCATTGACCGTCATGCCCTGCAGGAAGGAGGCCAGGCTGAGGAAGAGCAGCACGCCCCTCGGGGTGTTGAAGGGCTGCAGGCACTCGGGCGTGAACGCCCACCAGCCGCAGGTGGTACCCGGGGGCTCCAGGGAGTCGCAGTGCTCCTCGGCAGCCGGGCCCTGCTTCCCAGTCCCCAGACGGCACGGGGGCCTGCAGCAAGGGTCCAGTGGGCGGCCGCCCATCGGTGCGCTCAGGGGTGGGCACTGGCTGGGGGGCGTGCTGTTGGAGCCAGTGCCAGGGGCCAGGTCGGGGAAGGCGAGCTGGGGTGTGGAGGCAAAAGGCCGGTTCCCCGTCAGGTGTTGGGGCATCTTGAGCACGGCTGGGCGTGGTGAGTTCTGTAGAGAGAGATTCCGGTTAGCCAGCCCACCTCTCCCCACGCACGCGTAGCCAGGGCTCGGTCTACCCAGTGTCAAGGTTTTCTGGCCCAGGCCTGTCCCACCAGGGTCACATAGATTAGTCCTGGGATCGGCTCCAGGGTGGACTGTGGGGGCTGGACACCAAGTTATTGTCAGAGCAGCGCCACCGTTGTCAGGCTCAGAACCCCACCTCCGTCACCAGAACCCCCACCCACGCAGAACTGCCCAGGGACACCAGCACTTTGTGCCAGGGATGAGCAGGTCTGAGCTTCGGCCACTGGGCTGGGAGTGGCTGAGGTGCCCAGAGCCCCTGGGGTCTCACCCCAGGGACTGATTGCTCCCACAGGAATTGGCAGACTGGCGTGCCAGGCAGCCTCCCTAGTCTGAGGTTCAGGGAGTGTGGAGTGAGGGATGCTGGGAGCTGCCTGCAGGCCTCTCCCTTCCCTCTTCTTGGGGCTGCTGATGCCCTGGGAGCCTCTAGTGACACCTGACAAGGTAACTACCCGAAGCCAACGGGGGCTGGTGCCAGCCTCATGTTTGTGCTGAAAGACCTGCTCTGCGGCCCCCAGCCAGCCCCCAGCGCCTGCCTCCCGCGGACCCCTCCAGGGGCTCTGGGCCCCTCCAGCACCTTCATGGCCCCACAGACTTTAGACAGGGCTTGGCCGCCTGCCTCGTGGCATGCTTTCTAGTGCAGCCTGTTCACTGCCCACTTCATGCAGCCGCAGGGCTCAGGCTCCCATTCCCAGGCTTCCAGGGACCCACTGTGCTACCTGATCCTAGTGGCCACAGGCCCTGCGTCCAGCAGCTGGTCAGCCATTCAATCCCACGTACACTCTTGTGGCTGCTGAGACTGCCCTCCGCTGCCCGGCACCCACCATCTTTACCTAGGTAACCGAGTGTCCCTCTAAGGCCATTTCCTGTGTGGACTAGGGCCTCCCATGGGCATGCCCAGAGCCTCAGAGAGGCTGGGGGGTTGCTCCTGCTCACCTGCCCAGCCTGGGCCAAGGGCACATGGGAAGCTCTCCATGCACTGGCCTTGCTCGGGCTACGCTCCTTCATGCCCGGTGCCTTGTGCTGGGCTGACTGGGCCACCCTCAAGCCCTGCCCACCCACCAAGCATTTCAGCAGCTTCCCCTCCAAGCACAGGACCCTGGGCCTGCAGTGGGCAGGAGGGTGCCCCCACCCAAGGTGTGTCCGTCCAGAAACGAAAATGCCTGTTTCCTGTGGGGGGAGGGTCTGCCCCGGGTTTAGGGGTCCTGAGGGTGGGGCTGTCCAAACCCCATAACCAAGTGCTACCTAGCTCGCGTGTGGCCTGTGGGGACAGAGACATCCCAGTTCCCACACCTGGGGGTTCTGAGGGTTGGGCAGCCCCATGCCTCTGTCCCAGTGACCTTCCACCTTGCTCACAGGGGCCTCCAAAGATGGGTCAGGGTCCAGCCTGATCAGGGTGACTGCACGTGGTGCCCTGATAGCAGAGGCACACTGCACACACATGCACACTGCATACGTGCACAGCCAGAGAGACATGCATACCCAGGCACACTGCACCACGCACCACGCAGCACACTGTACATGCAGGCTCTAAGGGACAGTTGAGGCAGCGGGTGGCTCTGCCACAGCCAAGGGCTCCTGCCACCCAGGAAGAGCTCCTTGGCTGGTGGGGGACTGAGAATGAGCTCCTGCCAGCCCTGCAGGAGCTGATCTCTCCTCTGGGCCTCCTTGACTCTCAGACTGACAAACAGCCACAGACGCAGAGGGGATGGCAGGACCCCCACCCAGAGCCAGAGGCTCTACAGCCGCCATGACCACAGAATCCTAGCAGCGAGCTAGCCAGGGCCCGTGGGAGGACAGTGCTTACCCAGAGCTCACTGGCAGTTCTCACCTGGGGCTCCTATGGGGATAGTGGGTGGCTGTGCATGTGTGTGCAGGTGTGTGTACCTTTGTGGGTACATTATGCACACACCCTTGTGCACTGTGTAGGTATGTGTGCATGTATGTGTACCTATGTGCATGCACCATTGATGTGCACATGTACCCTGGCCTAATCCCGTGTGTACGGTGCCTGTGTGTGCACGGTGCCCGTGTGCTCTGTGCCTGGGTGTGCATTGTGCCTGGGTGTGCACTGTGCCTGTGTGTGCAGTGTGCCTGTGTGGGCAATGTGCCTGGGTGTGCACATGTGTGCAGTGTGCCTGAGTGTGTAGTGTGCCTGGGTGGCAGTGTGCCTGTGTGTGCAGTGTGCCTGGGTGGCAGTGTGCCTGTGTGTGCAGTGTGCCTGGGTGGTGGTGTGCCTGTGTGTGCAGTGTGCCTGGGTGGGCAGTGTGCCTGGGTGGGCAGTGTGCACGTGTCTGTGTGGCATGTGCCCAGCCTGTGCCCATGTGGTGTGCACCCTGATTTAGGAGTAGAACCCCATTCCTTCCAAACTCCTCAGCCAGCGGTGCCTTTCGTACAAGAACCGCTGCTTCTCCTGCAGGCCTGTGGCCAGACAGTGTGGGCATGCTAGCCTTCAGAGAGCCCCATACCGGTGGACTCACGGGCCTCTGAAGAAACCTCTTCTTCCCACGAGCAAGCAAGCGATCGAGCGTAGCCCCTCCTCCGCCATCTGTGCTGGTGCCTTTCTGAGTGGGGTCTGGGGGTTCTGCTCTCCAGAGGAGGCACAGAAGAGAGGGCGGAGTGGGGCACTGCTGGGCAGAGCCAGGCCTGCCCCTAACTTGCGTGCCTGAGGAGGGCAGGGACAGGGCAGGGAGGGGAAGCCATCCGATTTGCCTGGAACAACAATGAGGGGTTGTCTCTGGGACGACCTCCCCCACCTGGTCCTGGTGGGTCCTGCAGCCTCTGCCTGACAGCCCTGCTCTCCTTTGGTCCCTGCTCCTGAGCAGGGTGGCACCCCTAGGCTCCTCCAGCCAGGGCTGTAAACCTGGGTCCCCCTTCCCCTCTAATAGCCCACCCTATTGTAGAGCCCCAAAGCCTCCGCCTTGCAATTCAAAGGAAGGCTCTTCACGCAGACAGAGGGCAGTGGGGCTGCCCTGGAGCCTGGCAGGACCTTCAGCTCCCTCAGGCCACCGGCCTGCTCTGAGCTTCAGTCACCCCCTCCCCCCGGCAGCATGGGCAAGACTTCATGAAGGACCCCAGGGAAGGGCCCAGTCCCCAACCTCAGGCGGGCTCTCGGTGCCCTGTGCTGCTCTGAGTCAGGGCTGCACAGGTCTCAGTCCTGGACTTGGTGCGCCCGGGTTCGAACGAGCCTTCCTTTCCCTGTGGTTGGGACAAGTACAGCTACCCTCACCAGGCCCCCTGTGGACTTCACACGGCTGCTGGTACAAAGTCTGTGCACGAGGCCACCCTGTGTCCTGCTGGCGGGCATTCCCCCAGGGCCTGGGGATAACTCTGGGGACTGAGGCGCTGGCTCTGGGGCTGGAGGTGGGGGGCCCAGACCCTCATGACTCGGGGCGAGCGTGGGGGTGGGTAGGATGCTGACCATGGCATGCTGCAGTGGGTGGGGTGGGCTAGGTCTCAGGAGCGGGTGGGCGTCAGACAGGGGGATCCACACAGGGCCATCAGGGTCGCTCCCTGAGCTGAGCCACCAGGACCAGTGCCCGCCCACTGCACTGCCCTCAAGGGGGAGGGAACAGGTCAGCCGTGTCCAGCAGCTGCTCGGGCCACACCCAGGAAGCCCGGTTGGGTCCTAACCACCTGGTGACTAACCTACCAGCGTACCTTTGGCCCTGCCTAGCAGGAAGGAGAGGTGCTCTCAGTGATGGGAGCCTTGGGCCCTGGGCCCCAGCCTGCCCAGCCTGTGCTTCCCACAGCCACCCCACTGTGGCCCATCTTCCGGGACCAGCCTCTTCCTCAACTCTCCTATGTCCTTCACTAAGAGCTGTGCCAGCTCCGGGCCGTAGCCTGGCCTCAGAGGCCCCCCGCCTGGGGGACAGATGGACACTCCCAGATGGCTGGGGAGGAGATGGGCCAGACAGGGCAAGGGCCACATGTGCAGCTGCCACTTGCTCTGTCAACCTCGGCCCAGTTCACAGCAGAAGCTTAAGAACCCAACCAAGTTCTGTGGCCCTCTGGCTGAGTCAGGGACCCTCAGAGCCCAAGCACCCTTGTCTGTGGGACAGGGTGGGAGTTGTGGGGATTCGATCAGACAACCTCACACAGCACACGCTATCCATTCCCCAACCACCCGCCATCACCATTGCCCCCACTGGTCTGTCTGTCTGGGTGGCTTGTGGGTGGCTGTCACCCTGGAAGTGGAGTCGCTGGTATTTCAAAGGCCAGCGGGGTCAGCCACAGAGAACAGGTTCCAGAGAAGTTTCCAGATTAAGAATAGCACAGTGGGGCCTGGTAAAGCCAGGCCTCTCTCCTCCAGGAAGCCCCCGTTTCATTGTCCTGATCCCGGACCCAGCCTCGGATTCCATAGCAGAGTCCCAGGCCCTCTGCCCCCACCCAGCATGGAGCCGGGACTCGTTCACTGCCGTGGAAAAATACTACCACTTTGAACGCGTGCAGACGGCCCACGGCTCCCCATCCGGACCAGTCGCAGGGGCGGGAGGGCCTCCAGCAGCCGCGCTCTCAGGGCAGCGCGTGGGAAGTGCCCGTGGCCCAGGACGCGG